TAACTAGTTTAGAGCATTTGCTATAACTATTACTACATAGTGAAAAATCATCAGTACAACTTACGTTGTGTGCTTTGTGCTGAAAACTCGGAGTGAAATAAACTCACTGTAAATCACATTATTCGTTGTCATTATCTGCTTGGAACTGTGCTATTGAAAAACCCCTGCACCTGTGTACCTGGCAGACTGTTTTGAATGATATGAAATCAGATTGCTTATGAACAGAAACGTGTGGAACATCTGTTGATCTGGTCCAGAGTAGTGGCTGGACTTGTTCAGTGTTCACAGAAGTGTGCACTCTTGTGACATGTATGGCTATTGCAGTTGCTCAGCCTTCTGCTCTACATAACACAACATGGAAACTCCTGTCCTGTAGTGTGTAATGTTAGCAGCCAGGGAAGGTCACTACTAGAGTGCCGTCTTCCTAACCACGAACATAAAACTGCTGGGAAATACTGTGAAGTGCAGTGCAGGGTTCCAGGGATGTGCATGTCCTGACAAGTCTTTATCCAAGGCCAGTCTGGGGGAGACCCAGAGGCCTTTCCAGACTTCAGAGACTTAAATTATGGAGGGTTAGGAGGGGCACAGCCTTGGAGTGGAGCCTGGTATTTGAGTTCCATCTTGCCCTTTTACATGCAGTATGACCTCCAGCAAAACAGCTCAACTCCTCTTGCCTCTGCTTGTTCATGTTTAAAGCAGGATGGTCACTTACAGACTGAATGATCTAAGAATTTGGATAATATAGCAAAGGTCTACCCACTGATGCTTCCCTGAATGGTTGCTATTACTGCTTGTGTAGAAAACATATTTGCATTCGTTCTCTGTATTCTTAATATGTACATGTGTGTGGTGATATATTATGTACCCTAATAAGGCTTGCCTGAGGATCAGAGAAGCAGAGTAAGCCACAGCCAACCTCACCTCTCCAACTCCTCAGCTGATCCTGTTTTTACAAATCCTCAGAATGAAAGCCTGTGAGTCCTCACCCAAAAAGAGCCTTTAGGATCAGAGGACAGAACAAGCCACTCAATTTAAACAGAGGCCAGGCAGTGGTGGCACACACACCTTTAATCCTAGCACTCGGGAGGCAGAGATCCGTGTGGATCTCTGTGAGTTCAAAGCCACCCTGGACTACATAAGATTGACTCAGTCTAAGAGAGAAACAGAGCCAGGCAGTGGTGGCACACACCTTTAATCCTAGTACTTGAGATCTCATGCCTTTGCTTGGGAGGCACACACGCCTTAATCCCAGGAAGTAATATGGCAGGGCAGAGAAAGGAATACAAGGCGTGAGGAGACAGGAACTAAAGGCTCTTATTGGCTGAGGTCTTTTGAGTGAGGACTCAGAGGCTTCAGTCTGAGGATTCATGGAAACAGGATCAGCTGAGGAGTTGGTGAGGTGAGGTTGGCTGTGGCTTACTCTGCTTCTCTGATCCTCAGGCAAGCTTTACTAGGGTACATAATATATCACCACACATGTGGAATTATAGTGATGAGAGATACAGAGTACTTCTTTTGATACAGATTACAGTGTGTATGGCATGGCCTGTGTCACAGTCACTTCTTATAATGCCGATAGTACTCTTGTGCAGATAGTGAGCAGTAACCCAAGTCACTGCTTGTAGCATCCTGCTAACCTGACTTGTCACTGGCAATGTGCCACGGTGAGGTGGTGTTAAGCTGATGGTTCTTTGGACAGGTGCCAGTTTACTAGTCTCAGCACTTTATCATGTGAAAGCATTTCCAAACTCTAACTGCTTCTTTTCTACAGGTTAACATGGCTCCCAAAGGGCCCCCTCCGTTTCCAGGGGTACCTCTCTTGGGTGCCCCTTTGGGAGGCCCCATGCCGCCACCCATTCGATATGGACCACCTCCTCAGCTATGTGGGCCTTTTGGGCCTCGGCCACTTCCTCCTCCTCCACCATTTGGTATGATGATCTGAACAGTATTGACTTGTAAAACATACTCATCTTCCCTGTTCTTTGCTAACATAGTTACTACCATAGAGCTTTCCAGTTGAGGATAAAGCTGAAAGTACATTGTAACCTACCCTCAAGCTTCTGAGCACATATAGGTATTATTTAATCTTCCTAAACTGAGTTGGGCTTGGCTAGAGAAGGAAAGGGGTCATTCAGGAAAGCCAGTAAAGTTCCTTCTGCAGGTGCATTTGAACACCAGTCGCTACATATCATGTATGGAAAAGATGGGTGACACATGCCGTAACACCCTATAGGTCACAGAATAGAGACAGGAAAGCTAAACAGTCCCTTCCCACTGGGACTAGAGAGATGATAGGTGCTACAGAGAACACAATCGCAACCTAGTCAATGTAGGTCAATTTGAGTCCAGCTCCTTAATGTGTTCTGGCTGCACGAACTTTCGGTTGACACAGTGGTAGGCAGTAACATTTCCTTTACCAACTTTGTTGCAGTGGAAATTGTGTTTCAGAGTGAATCTGTGATTTTCATTATCCTCTTGGCATGGCTGTTATTCTGAATGGAGCTGTTCTGAAATGCAGAATTGCAGAGTGAAAAGAAAACTTGAAATTAAGCAGAGCTGTGTTTAAACCTGTCCTTTGCTTAGTGGCCACAGACTAATTTAAATGTGCTAATTCTCATTTGCCTTATTTTAAAGTAAGGGTGCCATACTTGACTTTCTAGGGCTGAGAAATTAATAAATATGTTACTATACTTGGAATGATTGCTCATTTAAATATGTTGCTTTGTATTTACATGACTCATGTTTTCTAGTTCCAGGCATGCATCCACCATTAGGCATAAGAGAATATGCACCAGGTGTTCTGCCTGGGAAACGGGACCTGCCTGTTGACCCTCGGGAGTTTTTACCAGGACACATACCATTTAGACCTCCAGGTTCACTTGGTCCAAGAGAGTACTTTATTCCTGGTACCAGATTACCACCTCCAACTCATGGTCCTCAGGACTACCCGATGCCACCACCTACTGCAAGAGACTCACTGCCTTCCGGCCCAAGAGAGGAAGCCCCACCTGCCTCTCCAAGCAGTGTCCAGGACCATTCACAGGCTTCAAAACCCAGCCCCTAACTTTGACCTCTGTCATGAGTCAGAGAGAAAGCGGACAGTGCATTATTCATTACAGCAAAGGATTTCATTGGCTTCAAAACCTGAAAGTTTGTTTCACAAAGTTTGTTTTTAGTACTAAGCTGCCTTGGCAGTGTGCATTTTTGAGCCAAACAAAAAATACTATTTTCCCTTTTAGGTAAAAAATCACCTCTTAAGCTAGAGTGTCCTTCCAACTTTGAAATGTGCAATAAAGAATACCTGTGTTTAGTTCATGTAGCATATGTAATTGCTAAATGATTTAGAATATCATAAAATATGAACATTTCCTGTGGAAATGCTTTAAGAACACGTATTTCCATGGCCTTGGTTTAGTGTGTGCCAGCTGATACAGAGCAAGGTGTTTACAGCTCCCTCTGTCTCTCAAAGACTGTTACGCTAAAAAACATTTACTCAAGGATCATAAACTCTCCTGTTGCTAAAGTTCTTTGTAGTAATAGTTCATAAACTTTGTTTATTAATATTTTCCAAGTGTCTGCTGATTCTTTGGGTTGCTTTGACATGTGTATCACTTGGGAAACCTGACAGCTGGGCTTCTGGACCTGCAGTGGTGAGTGTGCACACTCCACGTGGCACTGCTGAGGTCTCCCTCTGAAGTCACCAGTGAGCACTAGGGGAATTCTCCTCTTACTCAAGTCGGCAGCCCCACCCATCCTAGCTTCTGCACCTCCTTGATGCTCACTGCCTGTTTGGGAACAGTTTTCTGAGTAAAAGTTTGCATTAGTAACAAGAATTACCTGAGGCTGGATGTGGTGGCACACACCTTTAATCCCAGCATCTGGGAGGCAGAGGCAGGTGGATCTCTGTAGCCAGGGTTACATAGAGCCTGTCTCAAAAACTGAGGGGGGAAAAAGATTATTTAGGCCAGCAAGATGGCTCAGCAGGTAAAGACACTTAATGTCAAACCTGACAGCTCCCTGGATCCACACAGCAAAGAAATCCAAATCCCACAAGTTGTCCTCTGACCTAAACACACACACTCACACCCCTTGAAACATGGGGAAAAGGTAAACGTAAAATTATTTGACCTGATGTTTTGTTGCTTTTAAAACCATTCTTGCACTAAGGGTAGATAACAAGATAAAAACCATGTGCCATGACTCTAAGATCATTTCTTTTTAGAAATGTATATTCTGTTATCTCTCATATCACCTTAAAGCTGATTTTTAAGGAATATGACAAGAAAGAATCAGGAAGGTGCCATGAAGAAGAATGACTGCAAACTAGGAAACTCACCTATGTTTTCAGTCCACAACTATGGGCTGAACTCAATTACATGGTGGTTTTGAGACAGGGTCTCATTTTGTAGCCCAGCCTGGCCTCAGACGCTCAGTGATCCTCCTGTCTCAGCTCCTTAGAGGCTGGAATTTCAGGCTTGAGTTACCTTGCCTAGTTCAATTCTTTAACATACTATTCAGAAATTAACCAAATAATGGTGCTTTTATTTATAAATCAGGTAAGTCTAGAAATCTGGTATTGCGTTGTATGTAAAGTCTTGCGCCCATTTTACACTGCCTTTAAAACAACTGGTTCAGACTATTTACAGTAACCTTAGCAGCACATTCTGTAAGAGCCATAATACATAAAGTTATAAAAGGTGACAACTGCTTACTGTGACACTGTATTCTCTAAAGTCCTGTGAAGTCATGATATTGACACCTAGGACATATCATGTCATTGTTGGGATGTTAAATCCATGGGGATTCTGAAAAATGAGCAAAAGCTTCAATGTGAAATAAAATCATCAACAGTTGAAGACATACTATACAAAGACAGGCTCTCTGAATGCAGGACGTTCCAAGGGAGCCTGGAAGGCCTCCAGGAAGAGTTCAATATGCCTGGCCCCAATCTGGAATTACAGAAGATTTTATATCATAAGAAAACGACACAGGATAATGGATGTCATTAAAAAATTAATTTTTATTCTATGCATGTGTTCTGCCTGCATGTATGTATGTGTACCACATGTATGTCTGGTGTCCATGGGTCCAGAAGAGGGTACCAGATCCCCTATAACTGGAGTTGCAGGCAGTTGTGAACTACCATGTGGGTGCCAGGACTGAACCCTGGTTCTCTGCAAGAACAGCCAGTGCTCTTAACCCCTGAACCATCTCTTAAGCCCCTAGCCTATTTTATTTTTTAACCATATAAAAATAAGACTGAATTGCAAACACAACTTCTTGGATTTATCTGTCAACCTCCTCAAGACACAAAATAGTGAAGTTAATGTAATTTCTTTTTTTTTAAAGATAGAGTCTCACCTATGTAGTTCAGGCTTTCTCAAATTTGATTTCCTCCTGCCTCTACTATCTCAGCTACCTAAGTTTAGAAGGCATATAAAGATTATACCAGCTAAGACAAATAGTAAAACTAAGTAACCCCCGACCCCTTTTTTGTTTTAATTCAAAACTAGGATGTTTCCCTTCTAAAGCCCTTTGGTTATCCTGCTGTATATCATAAACATCCCAAGGAAGACAGAAACTGCAGAGCTGGGCAGTTCTGAGCTGGTCTACCACTGTTTCCTCAACCCAGTCCTACTGAACATCTTGTGCTCCAAAAGCCCATAACAAGCTGTCCGTCTACAGATGGCACAGAGGACGACAGACCTCAGTTGAACCACTTTTCCATTTCAGAAGTTCCTGTTTCTGAAGTTGTCTCCAGCCAACTAACTGTTTCTGGACTGAGCAGCCAAAACTTGCACTAGGAGCAGTAGCCCAGCCTGAAAGCATTTCTGCCAGAGCAAAGGCTATTTATTTATTGTTCAGCGACTGCAACAGAAACTTCACTTGTGAAATGTGGGATGCTCTCTGTTAACTGCAGTCTTGTCATTCAGGTCTGAATTAAAGCTCAGCTTATCACATGATGTTCCACTAAAGCTGTTGGACCCTGATGGCAGGCATCTGTAGTTCACATAAACACACTTTGTGAAGGATCGGTGCTGCAGCACAGAACATTGCCACTTTGCTATTCCTCTTACGGTCTGTGAGAAAAGAGAAAGGACAATGTACAGTCTTTGCTACATTTTAATAATGGTAGGTTTTAAGGGATTATTTTTTAGGCCTAGTCAGCAACATCAGACAGAAGGTATTGAGTACTCCCCAGGGTACAGAGTACTGCCCAGGGTATTGAGTATTCCCCAAGTACTGGGTACAGAGCACTGCCCAGGGTACAGGGTACTCCCCAGGTATTGAGTACACCCCAGGTCCAGAGTACTGCCCAGGGTATTGAGTACTCCCCAGTCCAGAGTACTGCTAAGCACCTTAGAACCTTCACATGACCTAGAGATGTGGCTCTTGCCCCTTGAGGAGCTTACAGTCTTGGGATCCACAACCCAAAGCTTAAGAGTCAGACAATGAGTTAATTTAAGGCATATTCTTCATCTCCTAGAGCTACTGTAGATGGAATTATTTCAGCATTTGGAATTAATCCAATCAAGATTAATTTGGTTGTGGATTTTTTTTAGGCTGAATACAATTTTTATTAACATCCATCTAGGAAACAGTGACCTAGTGGGTGCTGAAAGTCAAGACTAGATCTCTTGAAGGGGAAGGTTAAAACATCTTCATTGAGATTACTTGAAAAAGCAAATATATTGAATGGTGTGATGAGGTTATACTATTTAAAAACAGGCCCAGGACTGAGAGTACAGTCCCCTCATGCACTGTTCATTAAAAAGTGAATATTAAAATATGTGGGTTCTATGTCTAACCCACAGAAAGCTCCTCACAAATCTTAACATTCTGTGTAACAACTATTCATCATGTGCTATGAAAGTCTTATTTATGCCTCGTTACATCAAAAGTAAATAGTCAATTTAAAATAAACTAATGACCTGCATATTTTCAAAAGGAATGAATGATTGTATATCTAAATAGGAAATAAATGGCGATTCTATCTACCTATATTAAAAAAAATAAACTATCTTTCCAGATTTTGCATACTAAGGAGAGGTATGCGGTCTTAAGGTCTCACAATGGGTTGTCAGGAAAGCAGCAATTATCCTCAGTATCTTAACATCTGACTCAACTCTTCCCAATGATGATATTTCAAAGATATTGTAAACACATTTAAAAACCTGGAGTTATTCTGAGATGGTTCCAACGTTAACCCTAGAGTCTACCAGGAAGAATAGCAGTATGACAGAGAAGAGCAGATGATCCACCTGACTCCAGTGCTCATTTCAGGAAAACAATCTGGTCATTCGGGAAACATTCCATGTGGTTTCTCATCTGGTCAGGGCATACTTTCCATGCAGGAGATCTATGGCATTCAGCTAGGCCACTTCTAAGGAGTACCTATAAGCTTCCAGATACTTTCCTAGGCAATGTAACTAGTCCAATTCCTCTCAGAGCAATTCTACCCACCTCAACCCAGAGTGTGACATTCAAGCCAGAAGAGCATATTGGAGCAAAAGTGAGCAGAAATGTAAACTCTAGCACATTCTTATTGCTGCATTGTCTGAAGTTCAGCACATCTACCACAACAGTACTGTCCAGGAAGCAGGGTAGGAGTAGTGGTAATGAGGAATAGACAATTAATTGCACAATGAATAGAAAAGTAAAAATGTTTCAAAATCTACACTAAACCTGTATCCAAAGGAGTGATAGGTCAGTGATGTGCTGAGCGTTTGAGTTCTGGGGTCCGGCTCTGTAATGGACTTGCTGGCCAAATGGCACGGGTAGGGCTCATTTCCTGCCTGTTGAAGAGTGATATGCTACACAGAGCTATGACGGTTTCTGAGTGGTAAAATTCACACAAGTTCCGGTTATTTGTATCAGGATCATTCCTTGTGCAAAGTCTGATGTAGATGAAGATAAAGTGGTTTCTTGGTCAATAATTGTAATTTTTTTCTTTTAAAGTCAGTGGGTTTCTTGTATCTGGAACCACAACAGAAAGATTATTGTTTAAAGTACTCTGATTGACCCCCACGTTCCATTTGCCATGCCCCAAACTTACAATTCTATTACAATTGGCCCAGGTTTAATTTCATCCATCTCCATGAAGGCAAAACACTTGGTGCTGGTAAACCTCTTTTTAGGCTTGTAATGTTTGAATTCAAAGAAGATGGCCGCACCTAGGAAGTTGAAAGACACATGAACCACAGGCAGCAGTTATGTGTGAATTAGCTTTCTTGACTCACCGAAGCCCACGAACAAGCAATGGTTTGCACCATCCACAAGGCAGCCTGACAGTCTGATGGGGTAGGACCGGTGGTTGCTTGAGTACCAACCCCAAAGTCTACTCCACCATTTCTCTCATCAGCGCATTCTACAATGTCCTGAGCAGGACTGGCTGAAGAATACCCATCACTAAAGAGCATGGAAGAGGGCCAAGATGGCTCAGTGGTTAAAGCACTTGTTATGCAAGTGTGAGGACTGGAATCCAGATTCCCCAGAACCCATGTAAATGACAGGTGGCTGTGGTGGCCTGCCTGCAATTCCAGAGCTTGGAGGGAGGAGCCAAAATTCCTGAAGCAAGTTGGTGAGCTAGACTAGCTTTATCAATGAGCTCTGAGTTCAATTGAGAAACATGTCTCAATGAATAAGAAAGAGTAATTGAAGGATACTCCTATTGTCAGCCTTGGGCCTCAACATACAGGTGTACACACATGTTGGTGCACCTGCACACATGTGAACCCACACACACATAGTCATGTACACCATTGTGCTGGATAGTTTTATGTCAACTTAACATAAGCTAAAGTCATCTGAGAGGAGAGAATCTCAATTAAGAAAATGCCTCCAAAAGATTGGGTTGTAGGCAGGATTGTAAGGCATTTTCTTTTTTCTTTTCTTTTTATTTTTTTAAAGGCATTTTCTTAATTAGTGATTGATGGGGAGGGCCCAGCCCATTGTAGTTGGTATCATCTCTGGGTTGGTGGTCCTGGGTTCTATAAGAAAGCAGACTGAGCAAGCAATGGTGAGTGAGCCAGTAAACAGCACCCTTCCATGGTCTCTGCATTAGCTCCTGCCTCCAGGTTCCTGCCCTGTCTGTTTTTGATTACGAACAGAGATTTGGAAGTGAAAACCAAATAAACACTTTCCTCCCCAACTTGCTTTTTGGTCATGGTGTTTCATCACAGCAATAGAAACCCAAACTAACACAACCACACACTGGAAACATTTCAAAACACAAATTCCAGAAGAGGAGCGCAGTCCACAGAGATAATAAGTGCACATGTACTAGGCAGACTGGCAGTGAAAGTTCCTCTTTAAAATGTTCAAGCTGGACCAGCTTTGCTTCCTCCTGAAACACACCCCCAAATCCACACAACACAAGCCACGTACAAACCCCCCAATCTACACAACACAAGTCACATGCTATTACATGTCACCTAATATCTGCTTTAGAGTCCAAAGCCATATACTTTACCCCGTCACTGCTGACGTCTACATCAACATGTGCTACAGAAGAAAGGGTATAAAGGCAACAATACTCATTTATGAGGAAGTTACATAGTTATACATCTCCAAAGACCAACAGATAAGCTCTGTATCCTGAAGGGAAAAACGAGATTAAGGATATAAATTACCAGTGTAGCCCCAAACTGATTTCTAAAAAAGGTGTGGAAACCAATGAAAGCTGCTGCCTGATTCAATCAGTTGCTATTTAATTCTGCTTTAACTGGGGTTGTACTGGATCCTGTCTTTCAAGACTATAACAGACATCCACTTTAGTGAAAAGATGAAGTGTAACAATGTTCTGAAATACGTGAACAGCCCTGGCACTTGGGTGCAAACAGAGCATCTCACAAATCAAGCAAAAATGCCCAGTCACTCAAGACAGGAGGGAGAGGGGGAGAGGGAAAGAGGGGGAGAGGGGGAAGGAGAGGAAGAGGGAGAGGGGAGAGGGAGAGGGAGGGGGAGAGGAAATGGGAGAGGGAGGGAGGGGGAGAGGGAGAGGGAGAGGGAGGGGGAGAGGGGAGAGGAAGAGGGAGGAGGGAGAGGGAGAGAGAAAAACAGGCACACTTAGCCTGTACTTTCTCACATAAAAGCATCCCGATAGGTGGGCTACTGGGGACCAGTTTTCCTGAGCATAGGACCCTACTAGATCCACACAGGTGTCGTGTGTCTTCTCATTCCTACAGCTAATGATCAGATCCCATTTCTCAGTCTCACCATCTCATCATGACTCTCTTGAGGCCAGAAACATTAACAAAGCTATGCTTGGAAACCTAAGCCCAATAGTCACCACTGCTCTTACTCCTCTGCATTATCAGAAAACAATGTTGACCGCAGTGTTGGTATGCAGAGTTCTGTCCTCCACACATTTGTTACAAATGTAAAATTAGGATAGCCTAAGATGACTAACTGAAAGGCTTATGAAGGTGAAAGTGCATTAGCATTAGCATCACTTGGAACTACCGTGACGAGTATTAAGTTCAACACTGGAGAAAAGGAACAGTGGAGTCCTGAATAGTTCAACGACTCATCAGCCATCAGGAAAGAGCAAAGCATAGTAAGGAAGGTTGTTAGCCAAGGACACCACTGTCTTCCTTCACCTCACAAGCAGGTCGCAAGGCAATGGGGAGAAGGCACGCTCCATGTTGCAATCTCTTCCTTATGTACCCAGCACCCTCTGATACACACCCTTCTGACCCAGGGGGTTTCAAGTTCTGGAGTCTACCAGAATGACCTGGAGGACTTTAAAAAACACACCGCTGAGGCTGGACCACGGTTCATCTACCAAGGTTCTGGGGCTGCCTCTGCCACAGTCCCGGGTTTGAGAACGGCAGCAGCACTACAGGGGCTGCAGGACTGTTTCTGAAGGCACTCATTTCACACGCACTTCCTACAAAGCTTGGCATCGCCAACTGCAGCTGGGCCTCAAGAGAGCAGGGGCTCTGAAGACTTCTCTGTAGAGAACACCAACAGCGGGTGGGCAAACGGCAACTGCAAGTATTACGGCTAAGACCTGGGCTAGGCCGGCACTGCAACGTCACTGTGCTAAAAGGCGGCTCTCTCCCTTCCCACCTTCCCTCCAGCAAACTGCAAGTTCTGGTACTTTTCTACTCAGTGGATCCAAGTGGAAGGAAGGGATTAGAGCACCATCAGGAGTTCCAGCTTCCCCACTCATCAGAAAGAGAAAAACTGCCGTGTGTGTATGCGCGCGCGCCCACACGTGCAGCAAGCAAGAGGTTAATGTCAGTATCTTCCTCAATCCGTTTCCCACATCACTTTTTGAGATAGGGTTTCTTACTGAACCTGGAGCTAGCCTGGCTGAGCAGCGAACCACATCTGTCTTTAGCTCCTAGCACTGGCAAGCTGCTATGCCTGGCTTTTACATGGGTGCAGTCATGCAGTGGGTCCTCCCACTGAGCCATCTCCCAGGCCTAAAATTTTACTATTAAAGAACATTATATTCTAGTGTCATTATACAACCAGATAAAACACCACCTAATTTCAACATTTAAAAAACAATACCATTTGGATTTCTTCAAATCAACTAACCAGGTGACACTGACTTCTGCCAGATGTGGACTATGATGGGATCACTGTGCACACCCTCCCAAATGAGTGCTGTCCATAGGAAAACAAAGATTATGGTCACAAACCTTTGGTTAATTTTTCAACATGTTTCTGGAGCTCAATGTCCACATTAAAATGAACATATGTATCTTCTTTTCTTGAAGCCACAGGAGTATCTTGTACAGGAGTTAAATCTATGCCATTCAAATCTAGAAAGAAACAAGTTTCCACTTAGAGGCAATCACATTTAAGACTACCAAGGCCACATTTCCTGCAGAAGTGGGATGGGGGAGGGTTTTCAGGACTCACAGGGATGCCTCCCTGTATGACCAGGGGCTTTGGAACTGCTGCTGTCCATGGGTGTGTGGAGGCAGTTGAAGTGAGAGGTGGCAGACCACAGAGAGGGGGGAAAGTAAGTTTGCAAGAGGTCAAATTTGATCTTTTTTTTTTTTTTTTTTTTTTTTTTTTTATGAACTAGAGAGAAGCTAGCAAGTAGTCTTTTTCCAAGGAGCAGTTGTGAGCTGCCCTGTGGGTGCTGGGAATTGAACCCGGGTCTACCAGAAGAGCAGCCACTGCTCCCAACTACTGAGCCATCTCTCTAGCCCAAAATTTGATCTTTAAGAGGGGAAAGAAGTTCCTGTTTCCTGAGGACACAGGCCACTCTTATGTGTAGTGAGACTCTGGACTGAATACAGCTTGCTACAATGGGACCCTCAGCCCCTATTTTGCAACATTGATCAAGGGCATGGATGGAAAAGCTTTAAATCTACAATTAAGTCAGAACTCCTCTTCTGTACTCAAGTCAGATGGGCATGGGAGCTGCCAAAGAAATCCCTTTCATCAGTTAAGAAGTTTATAAGTAGAACCTACATTCCTAAAACACAACTGATTTACCACAACCAGATGGTATGCTAATTTACTGGGTATGGCTTTAATTTCCTGGATCCAGGAACCCCACTTAATCAAATTCTTCATTAGGTTTATTTAACAAATAAGTGTTTATATATTTATTATTCAACAAAGATGTCTTAGGAATCTACAGTAATTTGGTACATCTGATTATTGAAGTTCTTAAAGATATTTATACAAAATCCTGTTTCAGTTCAACAAACATGCAAAGGTAACTTAACATCTACCACATATCATTCAATATTTCATTTTTTACCAAGTACCTTCCTGAATGAGTTATATCATTTTGCAAGTGGTCCAGCACACAATGCAGAGAGTGCAAATACTTTGCACACTTGATTGCTGTCTATCTCTTAAAGCAGTGGTTCTCAAAATGTGGATTTTGACCCCTTTAGGAGTGTCAAACATCCATTTCATAAGGGTCACATATCAGATATCCTTCATATCAGATATTTACATTATGATTCATAATGGTAGCAAAATTACAGTTATGAAGCAGCAATGAAATGTTATGGTTGGGGTCAGCACAGCATGAGGAACTGTATTACAGGGTAGCAGCATTAGGAAGGCTGAGAACCACTGCTTTAAAGTATTACCCTCACTAGTCCTGTCATTCCTGGTCTATGCTTATTAAAGTTTTCTCTGTGGCTAAATTCCTTTTTAGTTTAATGGTTACTAATGAACCTATGGGTGTGAGTTTATTTCTACTAGTGATGCAAGTTGCCTCCATTTTCTTTCAGTCCACATCTGGTTCTTTGGTTAGCTTCAAACTGCAGCTTAATGTTAACCACTTGTATTAACTGTGGAGTTATTTCTAGACAATAATGACTTTATCCTTACTGATTCAATAATAACTGTTCTTACTAATTTTTTTAACAGGGTCTCGTTGTGTGTCCCCCAAAATTGGGCTCAAGTGATTCTCCTGCCTCAGCTGCCTAGAAACTGGGATCACAGGCATGCTTCATTACGCCTGACACCGAATAATTACTTTTAAAGACTAAGTGCTTTGAAAAGAAAGTCCTGTATACTAGGTATGGCAAAAACAAAATACTTCAACCATGTGGACACTTTGTTAGGGAGGGACAGGAATAATTACACTTTCTAACTCTGACAACTTTCTTTCCGGTCCTGCAATGGCTCTCCGAGTCTGGACATATGGACAGACCCTCTTCCTGGTCTTTATTTCCACCCTCCATTGCAGCACCCACCTTACAGAAACCTGCTGTAGGAATCAGAGGGCTATTCAACTATATCCCTGTGGAAGGGGAGGGCTATTTTCTATTCTGTGTCCTGGACATTGTCTCTGCTGCTAAGGGGACTGTGCATGGCTAGACAGCTCCCTAGAGCTGGGTCTGGAGTATGAAATATAAAAAGAAACAAAGACAAGCTGCTGCGGGATGTTCTCTATGCTGTGAATGTATTGCTATGATTGACTGATAAATAAAACGCTGATTGGCCAGTAGCCAGGCAGGAAGTATAGGCAAAACTAGCAGAGAGGAGAATTGGGGGAACAGGAAGGCCGAGTCAGAGAGACGAGGCCAGCCACCGTGAGGAGAAGCATAATGTAAGACACTGGTAAGTCACGAGCCATGTGGCAAGGTATAGATTTATGGAAATGGGTTAATTTAAGATATAAGAACAGATAGCAAGAAGCCTGCCATGGCCATATAGTTTATAAGTAATATAAGTCTCTGTGTGTTTACTTGGGGGGAAGTGAGTGGGAGAGATTTGCCCAGATTTGCCCCGACTGCCGGCAGGCCGGGACACAGGAAAACTCCAGCTACAACAAGCTCAAAAGCAAAAGTGAGTCTAAGTTATACATTAAAAATGTTTATTAAATCTATCAGAAGTGTTCTCTGAAGGAGTGAAGACCAATTCCAGGGACTTCCTATCATTACAGAACGAATTACAATGAGCTGCTTAGACATGGGAGCCACCGCTCTAAGAACAACTGTTCCAAGTGGAAAGCAGTATGACATCTGCAGAAGGAAGCCACCCCCAGAGCTCCTCACCCTTCACGCTGACTGTAATGTAGGGATCGATGCACTGCCCCGCATCTTTCAGACCGATTCTCTCAATTCTGATAGTGAGTAACGTCATCCCTGGTTCGGACGGCAACCGGGGCAATAAAGTGCCTGGCAACAGAGAAACCACAAGAAAACTTAGGCCAGCGACAATTCCAGAGTGAAGAGACACAGGCTTCCTATAACTTAGCAACCAGGCAGGCAGTGCATTTTGCTTTCTAGCACTCTCAAACACTGTATTATTCCTTTTTTGTTTTTTAGGATGTCCTTAGGTTCCTGAGTATGGAGATGATAGGCAAGTGTTACCACACCTATCTTGGTGTTATTCTCTGTGAATATATATTTAATTATATCCAAGATAAATCTGCACTCCATACTCCACTGACACCATAAAAGCAGAATTATTAAGGCAAGCATGTTAAAAATTCATGTTATTCAAGGAAGCCCAATTCTAAGCTACTATGAAATCGATAATACAGCATGTCCACATAATACATATATTCATTGCACTTATAAAGATATACCTTATATCTCAATATGAACTTGTAGAAAAAGGACAGAAAAATTTTTAAGTATTTTGTTATTCTGAAGCTTAAGAAGTTTGAGAGTAGACCAGAAAATCCTTTGGAGAGCTCTCTTGGCTGGAGAGGATCCCTGAATCAGGAAGGGTGAGGCTCTTAGCTCTGACCTCTTGGCTTTCTTCTCTGAATTGGCTCTGTGTTTCTTATTTAATAAGACCGTTGGTTACATCTACAAGTTACTACTAATTTACAGCTTAGTATTCATAGATTCAATTATTAGATTATTAAAGCCTAATTTCCTACTCTATTCCTCATCCTATTCTGCATGATGTATTCTTAGAAGTCAGTACTAGAGGGAATGCCAACATCAAACTGTAGGAGCAATGTGAATGTTTGAAACACTTCCATTCACCAATTAAAATTTTAAAACTAGAGGCCGGGCTAGACACCTGGCTCAGTGGGTAAGCGTGCTTTCTCTGCAAGCTGATTTGAACACCCAGCACCTGGGTAAACAGCTGCACATGACTGCACAGGGGAGAAGGGCAGAGGAGGCCCAATCCCAGATGCTGAGATTCTGGTTCAGAGCCTGTCTCCAGGCATAAAGTAGAGGCTGCTGCAGCTGAGTACACGCCACAGTCTGTTCTGGCCTCCAAATCTGTGTGCATGGACACATGTACCCACAACTTAGGTGCATGCAACAGGCACACATATACTACACACAGACCCCCCCCCCCAAAAAAAAAAAAAAACAAAACTAAAAGCCCACCCAAAAGAAAGTGGCATCCCAACCCTCAAGAAAATGGTCTGTTTTAATCCAGTGTGTGTGCAGTAAGTTAAACCACATACAGAACACAACACTTATGTAGGATTTTGGCTGGTATCTTTCCCTTCTGTTCAGCAATGTACTATCCTACTTTCAATAATGAAGAATCTGGAGAACATGATTCAGTACCTTCCAAAATGAACATCTGACTGACAGTGAACAAGTGTTGAGGAAATAGGGTGGAGGGCAATGGAAATGTTGTAAACTGGAAGGTGGTCACGGATGTCACCACTTTATAAATCAAAAACTTATAAATTCTAGACAGATTCTCTATAAATCAAGAATCACCAAATAGTAGGTAAATTTTATATGAATATTATAATAATGCTATTAAAAACAAGTTTTGAAATGTGTTAACATTTTTTTGTGGGTTTGGTGTTTATTTTGGGGGACAGGGTCTCATCCTATAGCCCAGGCTGACCTCACACTCAAGTCCCCATGTGCTAGATGATAGGCACAAAACACCACACCCAGATCCTACCCTTACTCCCTAGTTTAAATACCAAGACAACACAGAAAATGAAGAGTGAGAGATGGCCTTCACTGCAGTGTTTCATTAACAAAACTTAATGGGATAGGAGTAATTCTGAACATACACACAAAAATTCCTAAGACTGTCTGCATGGTCTTGGACTGTCTGGTTACAGATACAGGCAGCACCTACAGATGAGTGTGTCTCACTGAACTCACACAAACTTCAGAAAGGTAAGAAACACCTTGGAAATCTTAGGAAAGAGATAGGAGTACTTACATTTAGTTGTGTTCTTCTGCAAAAACGTTCATGCAACTATATAAAATTTAGATAAATTATATCTATATAAAATTAGATAAATAATGAAATTAATGCACTAATCTTCTGTTCATGGTCAGCTGAGTTGCTCACTTTTTTATTTTTTTTAATAGTACTATACACACACTGGTGAACATATTCTGGTACAAACTTCTCTGAAACAGGAATTATTAAGTCACATGGTCTGTGCTAATTACATCATCAGCTCCTACAGTGAATGTTCCAGTTCTGTTCCTGCCAACAGTGCAGCCATGTTAGTGCTGTTGAAATCCTCAGGCACTTTGTTTCTCAGATGAAACTTGAATCAATTTAGGTGTGGCGAGGCATTGACCTTGCCATCACTTGTGTGGTCTCTGACAGCTAACAGGGACTCACAGCTTTCTATTAGATCATGCATTTGGATTTTCTCCTTTCTGAAGGGGGTACTCAATTATTTTGCCCACATTTCTATTGAAATGTTCTTTCCATATTAAGTTGTAGGAGATCTCTAACACATTAGAAAAAGCTCTGGTTGCATGTCTTATAAACAGCTTAATATTGGTTTTCTTTTAAAAAACATTGCACTAAAACATAAAATATACATTTAGAATGCCTAAATTTGAAATGCAGCTTGCTGAATTTCACAATATGGACACAGCTATGTCGGCAGCACCAGGCATGAAGGATATAAACCAGCATGCTAGGGCACCCATGATGCTTCCACACCCTATCACACCTCTAATCGTTCTCCCAGAGACAGCCAGCACTGCTGCCGTCTAACACACAGACCACAGCTCAGGCTGTTCAGATGACTCTGCTCTGTAATGGTGTCTTCTAGGAGAAACTTCATGCTAACATAGTCAAATTTCTCAATCCCTTTCTTCAGTCTGTGCTTTTAAAAAAGTCTATAGAGCCGGGCGGTGGTGGCGCACGCCTTTAATCCCAGCACTCGGGAGGCAGAGGCAGGCGGATCTCTGTGAGTTCGAGGCCAGCCTGGTCTACAGAGTGAGTTCCAGGAAAGGCGCAAAGCTACACAGAGAAACCCTGTCTCGAAAAAACCAAAAAAAAAAAAAAAAAAAGTCTATAGAAAATTGTACTTAACAGTGGTAGTGGCCAGTGGTAGAACAGGCACCAGGCATGCATGTGGTACACATACATACATGTAGGCAAAAGCCTCACACATGAAATTTTAAAAAATGAATAAATCTAATAAAATTTTAAAAAATAGAAATAAAAATAAGCATGTGTTTTCAGAGGCAAAACAGACCAGAAATGATGTCTTGTGCCCAAGAAGGGCTGTCAGCAGTAACGGCTACTATGTATAATTTCCCTAAAGTTATTTATATTCACAGGGAGGGAAGCGCCTCATCCAAGCTCTTCCACAAATAGAAAAGGCTCACTCTATACCCTTCATTCCACTTAGATGACGGTAATGATAAGGAGTCTGCCCACCTGGGCCTACTTCTCCCAACCACAATTTGGTTAAAGACTGAAGATGTAACACAGAGACAGGCTGATACTACAGGCTCAGGCCAGAGCTTGGCCCGGGGCTGGCATTTGGGATCTTGGATCTGATGAAGATTTCCATCTGCTCTGTTCATCTTGCAACACCCGAACCGTTTGTGTGAACAGTACAGCTTGTGCTGAACACTTTCCGTTTGTGTGAACAGTACAGCTTGTGCTGAACACTTTCCTTCTGGAACCTATATTTTTGGTCTATAGTAGGTAGAAAATGGCTCTGTGATCAGTTACCAACAGCAGCCATGTGTGCTGAATCTCTAAGTAGATACTTCACCTTTCACAATGCTGCCACAATTTGTTACAGTAGGAATTAAATCCTGCCCATGTGGCTGGAAGCACAGGGAAAGGGCTTTGGAATCTGCACCCACTGTCCTCTGATTTGGCCCATATGCCTCTTCCTTTGGCTAATTTTGCTCCTGTGTTCTCTTGCAGTACTTTATAGCCATGAGTCTCGGCGAATCACTGAGCATGTGTTCTGAGGACCACTACCACAGAGGATCCTTTCACACTGCGTTTAGATAACCACTGACAGTGGCCCAGCCATGGAACTCTGCTTACAGTTGCCAAGGGCTCGGGAGAGGTTTTCCTCTCCACTAGCAAACACCACCACAAGTTCCAATGGTCCTGCTGGATAAAGCAGTGCATGTGCTGTGTAAGGATGCCTACCAGGAACTCTAGCAGAGAAAGAATCAGGAGGTCCTGCCCCAGCACCACCTTCTTCATCTTCTTCAAACTCCAAATTCTCTTCTTCACCAGGGGCTAAAATCCGTCTGCATGGAAGAGAGAGAGAGAAAAAAAAAAAAACAACTAAACAATGAGCTAGAATATTTAATACACCAACAAAGCCTCACAGCTGTTCCACAAGATGCTGAGTATTATAAGAGGTTGAAATATTGTTATCAATGTTGATATCAACCATATCAAAGATACTAAAGTGGATAAAACAACAGACAACAGATGTATCTGTAAAACAGGTATAAAGAAGACAGTAAGAGAAGATGAATATGAATACTTATTTACCTTAATGGGATAGGCTGAACATCAAATGGGAATTCTTTATTATATGTAAGAATATTCTTCAGGACTGCAATAAAAGACAAAGAAACATGAATTATTCTATAAAAATGAAATTATAGCTCAGCGAGCTAATTTTCAGTAAATTTTACCATGCACATTAAATATATTTTTAAATTTCCAGATTATCATTCCAGAGCCACTGAACTTGTTTGCAGAAGGTCTGAGAAAATTAGGCCCCCAAAACTTTTCCTACTGTGTACAAGGTCCTGGGTAAGACACAGGGTCCTCCCTGTACTGAAGGGCTGACATTAAAGGTGACAATTAGAGAGATCCAGGAGCATATCTTATTCTGTCTTGAGTTTTCTCCTGGATGTCACCAAACTGATATGCTTTGTGTTAGCAGTTACTCACCTCATACTCCTTTTATGATGAAAGTTACTGCTTATGTCTATATACTAATAGATCTGGACACAGTACAGTGTATCCTCAAGAGAAGTCTCCAGATGACATGGTACCTGTGTCCTGGCTATGGATACTCCCACAGCTCCCTTTGGGCACGTAAGTTTAGAGAGAGATACTCCGTAATGCTGCTGTGTCTGCCGGAGTACTCTAAGTATATAATTTAGTGTTTCACTTCCAGCCTTATGGGTTCCGGTAACAAGCTGCAAATTACACGAAAGTGAATCCACAGCATGAAATGGGCAACACAAAAGGCTCCTGTAACTTAGTGCTCAATACACTCAGCCTTTAACTTCGAAGTCCTATAGGTTAGAGCTGAAAGAGGCGGGGCATATTGGTACATAGCAGATAGCCTCCCAAGAGGGTATCCAGAGGGCACAGGTTGCAATTGCGTGTCATGTTCCAATGACTGTCAGTTTTATATCCAGTCTCTCACATGTGTGCTCAGCCACAGATCTCTCTGGTTTGTACTCTCTCTCTAGCTCTTGCCTTCACCCTCCCACCATCTTCCTTTGTCTCAGTAACTGTGTACTTAGTGACCACAATGTGTTTGACTCTTAGGATATACTATGATGACCAAGAACTAAATGGTTCTTAAACCAAACTCAAGAAGAACAGACAACAAACATGTCAACTAATAGACCAGATAATACATAAGTGTGAGAAGCTAAACAATGGCATCACAGAGGAAGTAGAAGAGCAACACATGCTGCTTTACTGTCTTTTGAGAAGATGTCCCTCAAGAGCATCCAACTGGAAGGGTTTGCAGCTGAAAGCTTATTCTTCTGATGCCCCTCTTCTGATAAAATCCTATTACATATATTAACATTCTGCAGATCTACACATAACAGAGCTTATCCTCAAGGGAAGTCTTCAAACACCTGTACTGGCTGTGGGAGGTTTGAGGTATACACTTATCCAAAACTCCCACCGGGACCGTGGACCAAATGCAAGAAAAGCAGATCATGGATGCCAACAAGTAGACAAGCTAATGTGCAAATGTGGCTACTGTTAGGACAGACACACAGAAAGCTGTGTAAATGAACAGAGAGACAGTAGAGTAGCTGGAGTCCACAGGGTCAGTCAGTATTCAAAACTGACCTTTTGTCAGAAGACACAGGAGCTGTGACCCAGGAGAGAGGCATCACCCACAGCCACTCCAGAGTTGGAACTTTCCAGTATTGGAGAAGCAGGGGCAAGAAAGGCTCAGAGAAGGAAGTAGAGCTTTTGTGGGGGCTTGCCTTTTTTTGAGACAGAGTTTCACTCTATATCCCAACCGGGCCTAGAATTCACTATGTAACTTATGGCAATCCTCCCACCTCAGCCTCTTGAACAGGAATGTCTCACCACATCCAGTTTGGGTTTGACTTCTTCATATAATACAAAGTTGACAAGCAAGAAAAGTATCAGAAGACCAAAGTAGGTTTAAATAAAATGTCAGCCCTACAATTTCAATGACAAATGCATATAACTATGCTAAAGTAATGTACATTACTCAGTTTTCCCAATCCTAAAATGGGAATGCCACTTCCTTCACAGACTACTGGGGGAACTAAAATTAAAGAAAACTCATGAGAATGCAGGGGAAGTTTTACAGTATTGAACACAGTCACATTCAGCTTCAAGTATCTGGACTTTATAAATGTCTTTCTTTTTCTTTTTTCTTTGTTTTTAGGCATGAATGATTAAAAAAAGAGTAAGTAGAAACCTGCACTGTTATGCGGGAATTAATATTCGCCACAGTTTTCTGTTGTGACTGACTAGAATCCGAGTGTTTCTTGTCTCACAGATAGTTCTTTCTTTTCAAAACATAATAACATCCCTTCCGAACTTTATGATCACAGTAGACTGTTAACTCAGTAAATAGCAATCAATCATTCACATAGTATTGTGGTAAACACTAAAAGATGATAACATCTGTCATTAATACTAGATAAGACACAGAAACCATATTTTATAATAATAAAAGGAGAAATAGCCAACGTTTAAAATATGTGAAAAAAGTTGAAAGCTACATTAGTTATAAAGAATATTTTCCCTTAGGAAAATGATAGGACATAAGGTCTAATGTAGCCCAGGCTGGCCTTAAACTCACTACATATTTGAGGCTAGACTTGAATTCCGAATCCTCCTGCCTCCACTTCAGAGTGGCATGATTACAGGTATGTGTTACTATATGTGGTGGTTTGAAAGAAAATGGTCCTCAAAGGAAGTGGCACTATTAGGAGGTATGGCTTTGTTGGAGTAGGTGTGGCCTTGTTGGAGGAAGTGTGTCATTGTAGGGGCGGGCTTTGAAGCCTCTTCTGCTCAAGATTCCCTCAGTGTGACAGTCAACTTCCTGTTGCTTGCAAGCTGCAGGACTCTCAGCTAGCTCCTTCTCCAGCACCGTGTCTGCCTGCACACTGCCATGCTCCCCACTATGATGATAACTGTACTCTGAATTATAAGCAAGCCACCCCAATTAAATGTCTTCATTTAAAAGAGTTGCCGTGGCCATGGTGACTCTTTATAGCAATAAAAAACCTAACTAAGACAGAAGTTGGTACCAGGGACTGCTGGGCCCTGACCCCCGTTTTTGGGTAGCTGTTGCCTTGCTTGCTGACCTTGATCAGGTGTCCTCCCTATGTTAATTCCCTGCTGGTTTCCTTCCTCCTGAACAGCTTACTGGAGGTTCCTTGTTTGTGTATCCTGCATATTGGTGTAAACAGCTAGGATGCAAGAATGTAAAACATCTGTAGTGAGCTTCTGCCCTCCGGGGTTCTTCCACTGTGCTGTGAGCCTGTATTTAAGGCCTCTTCCCTCCTTCAATAAAGGGTATTCTACTGAGAGGAATGACCTGCTGTCTTGTCTGTTTTAATCCTCAGCCCCTTGCTCAGACATGGTGAATGGGTAGTAGCGTGGGTGCTACAAGGGACTGAGGTATTGCTGTGATAGGCCTGACCATGTTTTTGTTTGGAGGAATTTAGACTTTGATACTTTGGGTTATGAAAGCAGTGGAATGCTTTAAGCACTGCTTAATAGCCCATGGAAGACAGAGGTGCGAAGAGTTATTTGAACTGTTGGGGGTTCAGTCAAGAGGTTTCGGAGAAGAATTTTAGTGTGTTGCCTAGAGATCATTCTTGTGATATTTGGTGAAGAAAGTGGCTGCCTTTTGGCTTTGTCGGAAGAGTCTGTCTGAGGCTAACGTGAAGAGTTTTGGATTAATTTCCTTGGTAGAAGGAATCTCAAAAGAGCCTAATATAGACTCTGTTATGTAGTTATTGGTGGTAACTATAATGAAGATTTATAATGAAAAGGATCAAGAAAACGTAAAATTTGAGGAGAAAAGGAATGAAGTGTTGTGTTCAAGGAGATAAATAGATTAAGAAATGGAAGAGAGGAAGTGGTGACCTCAGGGCAAGATTCCACCCAGCTATGTTTCCAACTTCTGAAAAGGAATTAAAGAAAAGTTTAGAGCCTGGTGTAGTGGTGTGGTGGTACATGCCTTTAATCCCATCACTGGGAAGGTAGCAGCTGGTGGATCTCTGAGTTTGAGGCCAGCCTGGTCTAGAGATTCAGTTTCAGGACAGCTAAGCTTAGGCAGTGAAGGTAATAATCAAAAACAGAAAGCTGGTGAAGATGTGATTGAACAAGGGGCCATGTTCCAGCCCCAGCAAGGAGCAGAACTTGGCAGCTTCAGCCATGTGGTTCTGGCTTTAGAGTCAAGGATAGAAGAAACAGACTATGAAATCTCCCTCCATGCCTAAGGAAAGCTGCTGAGGCCAGGCCTGTGTCAGGGGTGTCCCTGAATGGAGACCTAGAGAGGCCATTGCGTGAAGCTGTAAAGGAGAAGCCTGGATTGCCTTGGAGACCCCAAGATGTTAGAGATGCCAGTTGTGAAATACCTGCTGAGGAAAGCTGCTAACAGGAAGCAGAACCAGCCCAACAGAAATGAGTGAGTTGCAGACAACAAATCTGAAAGGAGTGGGAGATCTGAAGAGTCTTTTGACATAAGACATGGAAATGCAGAGTTTGTAGTTTTCTCAGCTGGTTTTTGTTCTTGCTTTGGTCCAGTGTTTCTTCACTATGCTCCCTTCCCTACATTTTGGAATGGTAACATTATCCTGTGCCATTATTTGTTGGAAGTATGTGATCTGTTTTTTGATTTTGATTTTATAGGGGATTACAGTTACAAGACTGCATAAATCTCAGAAGAGACTTTGAATTTTAAAACATTGTTAACTGTGATAGAGTATGGGAACGTTTGAAGTTGGACTAAATGTATTTTGCATTATGATACTGTTACAAGCTGATGGGGGCCAAGGAGTGGAATGTGGTAGTTTGTATGTAATCAGTTCCCATAATCTCATACAGAGTGGCACTATTAGGAGGTATGGCTTTCTTGGAGTGGGGGCAGGCTTTGAAGTTTCCTATGCTCAGGATACCGCCCAGTGTCTCAGTGGACTTGCTGTTGCCTGCAAGATGTAGGACTCTCAGCTACTCCTCCAGCACCATGGCTGCCTGCATGCTGCCATGCTCCCTGCCATGATGATAATGGACTGAACCTCTGCAACTGTAAGCAAGCTGCCCTAATCAAATGTTTTCATTTCTAAGAGTTGCTGTGTGTTCATGGTGTCTCTTCACAGCAGTAAAAACCCTAAGATACCACAGCTGCAAATACTTTGCTTCTTATAAACTTCTTTTTTCAGGTATCAATGCTTTGGAAAGGAAATCCTTGAGGGTGGAGTAATGCCTCAACGTTTAGAGCATGTATTATTCTTTGAGAGAACCACAGTTCAGTTCCAAGCACCCACTGAGGGTGGCTCACAACCATCTCTAACTTCAGTTCTAGGGGATGAGGCCCTGTTGTGACTTCTGAAGGCACATGCACTCCTATGTACACACCAACCCCAGGAATGCCCCCACTGACCTGCTTCCATCAGCCAGGCCTCACTGGTTTTTCTCTTGTTACATTTATGTATTTTGTGTGCATGCAATGTGGAGGTCAATGGACAGCTTTTGGGAGTAGGCTCTTTCCTTCCACTATGTGGAATTGAACTCAGGTAGTCAGGCTTGGTGGCAAGTGTCTTCATTTGCTATCTCTGGGCCTCACTTTTTTAAAGTGTTTTACAATCTCGCTCCAGCAGCTGAGGACCATTCAGTTTGATGTACTTATACCACCCTGACCCCCTCGGTGTCCTCTCCTACTGAGAATCAGTCCACCTCTCTTACTCATAGAGAATGGATCTTCCATTCCCTTGCAGTTCATGCTCTAAAAAATGACACACATGGAAATATCAACATGTGTTTTGTAGCAACATACCACTTTCATGGTAGGCAAAAATAAAAAAAAAAACTTTCATTCTGAAGGTTATTTTTTAAACTATGGAAGAAGGCTTCCTCTCAAGACATTGAAATCTATTGACTACAGCACAATTTGCTGAGTTTATACTATAAACAAAGCATTGCATAGACTATGCAGAGGAAAGTCAAAGGTTGCTTATAACTGCTCTGAAGAACAGAATAAACAGCAATGAGACTAATACAGGGCAGACTCTGACAGGCTATAAAAACACCACAGAACGGAGAGGGGGTAGCGGATCCAAAGGAGAGCACAGGAAGCTGTCAGGAAAGGTGCGTTTCTGTGGTGCTCCGAAGGATGGGTTTCCGAAGGATGGGTTAATGGACAGGAACTTTATGGATGGTGAGGGGAGATAGGTTGGAGTAAGCAGTATGTTCTGAGGAGTAACATAAAAATTACTAGAATTACTACAATCACAAGTTTAACATAAACTTCATACAGGACTTTCAAGGGATTTACAAACTTTGGAGGAAAGAATACATTAGCAAAGTGAATCACCTGAGTCCAGCATACTGAAAGCCACGCCATTCATTTTCCACAGAAGAGGCATCATCAAGGGAGAGCTTGACTAAGACTATTTCATCTAAAATGTAGTTAAACACTAAGTTGCAGAAAGTATTTCTGATAGAAATAACACCTAATTGTCCAACTTTTATAAACTAAAAAATTACAGAGTATGTCCTACTGAGATACAGTATACATAGCTATGCTCCTCCCAAAAGCAATAGAAAGTTAAAATCACCTAAAAGGATTGAGAAGAGGCCAGCAGATAGCTCAGTGGGTAAAGGTGCTTACTGCTAGGCCCGAGGACCTGAGTTCAATCCCTGGGACCTGTAAGAACCAATTCCTACAAGTTGTCCTGCAGGTTATCCTCTGATGTCTACCCAGGTGTTGGGTACTCTACTAGATAGATAGATAGATAGATAGATAGATAGATAGATAGATAGATAGATACATAGATACATAGATAGATACATAGATAGATACATAGATAGATACATAGATACATAGATAGATACATAGATAGATACATAGATAGATGAATGGATGACAGATAGATAGATGATATAGACAGACAGAAGTAAACAACTTTTTAAAGTATTAAGAAGGAAAAAGTTCAAATGAAAAGAAGTATATAAATTCAAAATATAATAAAATGAAGGTGAAGTTACTGTAATTCATGTACTTAGGAGGCTGCTTCAGGAGAACTGAGTTTCAGACAAGCCTGGGCTACACAGCAAAGCCTGGTCATCTTACAAAAATGAAGCAAAATAAAATAAATCTAATGTTACTATACTTCTATTCCCACTCTAAATCTTTAGAATACAAACAAAAGTCTTAAAAAAAAAAGCAAGCAAGAGGAACAGACAGCCACTAAAGATCTTAGTGTAGTATCCCACTAGGGCATGAATCAATAGTTTCTCACAAGTTTGAACTAGAAAACTAGGACATTTAGGATTGATGTACCCCAAACCAATTCCTGATATTTGCAAACATAAGGTCATAGACAAGTGTGAGAGTTATCATTAGCAAAAGGCAGCTGAGAGAATTTCTCTGAATGCCAAGTCATATAGCTGATACTCTTTAAAAAAGGCAACCAATAACAGCTCTTTGAAGCACTGGGAGGAATTACAGAGGCTATCAGAGAGAGATAATAAATGCCTACTGCTAAACAGTTGACAATCTTTCTGGCTATCCCACCTAGCATAGACTCCCTTCCTACTCTGCCCCTTCTTCCCTTTGTCCCTCCTGCAGCACTGGAGAACAAAGCCAGGGCCTGTTCCTGTAAGCCCCAGCCCCAGCCTTCTGTAGGATTCTTCAATTCTGTTTGAAGCAAACAAAAACCAAAAATCCTAGCTGAAAATGGCAATTGTAAGAAGCCAAAATCCTACTTCTTCTTTTATCATTTAAGAAAAAAAAAAAAGAAAGAAAGAAAAGAAACAAAGGATTTTCTTAGTCACGGACACCAGGCTTCGTGACTACAGCCGGGACCTTGCTGCATTTCTTGTGTTTCCTTGTGGTCCTTGTGGTCCTGGGGATGCCTCACACATGCCGGTATGCACTCCACCACTGAGAACACCAGCCTCAGAGTCAGAATCTTTTCATTAAAGCCATCAATGGGCTTTTCTACAAAATACCTTATAGACAGCCAGTCATGGAAGACTATATATGATTCATTTGTGTAAAATGTTCAGAATCGGCAAATTTATAGACAAATTAAATTAGTGTTTGCCTAGAGCTGGTAACTGGAGAGGGTCAGAATTGGATGGGGAAAATGAGTGATGCAAGTGGATACAGGGTTTCTTTTTAGGGTGATGAAAATATCCTAACATTGACTGCGGCGATGGTGCACTGTGAAGACAATAAAAAGTAATAACTATACGCTTTAAATTAGTGAATTTTATGGAATCTAAATAACTTAAATGAAGCTACAATAAAAAACTTATATAAAGTATTTGTTAATGCTTTTTAAAGAAACTGTAAAAGTTCTATGAATTAGAAAGTGTGGTCAGAAAAAATGAAAAATGTTTTATATTATTTGATTGGCATTCCTATATTCACTGAGAACAGGTAAGAACTACTTAGAAATATAAAATCACAGTTCTTGTAACAAAAAGGTTATGGTCTGCATCACATAAAGTGCCAAAACTATTAAAATGACACAGTTTATCATAATTCTTGCCATATGAGAAGGACCTTGCTCTGAAGAGATAAAATATGACCATCTAACAATCGTGAAAAAGCCACCAAAATCGCAGCAGATCTGTGTTCCTGGGTCTTGTTGCTTCTCTCTACCAACCCAAACTAAACAAAAGAAATCCGATCCTGTTAGCACAGACCCTGCAAACCTCTTTCTGCCCTGGTCTTTCCATAACCAGACATTTCCACTTCCTCGGTCACTTCCGTCTGCCTCTCTCAGACTTGCTGTGAGCTAGGAATTAGCAGCCTGTGAAGCTGACATGAGCAATCTCTTCAGTTCTTTCTTTCACCTTTCACCCAAGGTGTGGAGACACCCAAAGTATTGCACTAATATGAACTCTGCTCCCCTGATTCAAGCCCTGCCAGCTACTAAGAGCTGCAGTGAAACAAGGCTGAGCATTTCATCTCCTTCTTCCACTATAAAGTGAGAGAATGTGACCACATAGCCATGATTCTTTCTATTCTATGATGCCATGGTTTTATGATTCCCTACTGAGAATTTGCCTTAACAGATGGATCTGAAAGCTGTTCTTCCCTGTTTACAAAAGCATGTTAAGACATGCAATCCTGCCTCACTGGTATTGGCTAAGGTTTACTCAGTCATATTCACCTCTGCCCATACTGCAGACATTTCAAGAAAGAGAACGTTCACCTGTACCAGCAAAGCAAAAAGAAAAAAGTGGTAGTGACCTTTCAGGCAGCGTCTTAACCACCAATGTGTTTGAAGAAATTATTTACTTCAAAAAGTTTTAGAGGAAGAGAAAAAAAAAGTAGATACAATAAGGAAGTATTTCATGGCATGGTTCACAAGGGGCTACAGTTTTCATGCCATGTAAACTGAATGGCACCACTGACTATAGTTTATATCTTCCTTAGCGTCTGCGGTAAATGTTTGTCAAAGAACTAGTCTTATTAAAGTCACCAAAACAAAGGCTAATAGATATTTACACCAAATTATAGCTACTTCAAATATTGCAGGAATTTAAGAAGGACTAAAAAGATGCTACATAATTAGATAGTAGGAGAAAACCACCATCTATGCTAAATAGTGTTAACAGCTACAATGAATTATTTTCCTAAAAGAGATCACAAGAGTAACAGAAGATAAAACTTACTTGGTTCTAGCTTCTTCAGGTCCTCCAGTTTAAATTCTTCTTGGGACTGTGTGGACTAAATTTAAAATATGCACATTACATCTTTTTACTACAAAGATTTCACCATACCCTATGTCTCTTAAGTGGTAAAAACCAAACATCCAAAATGATTCAAAATCTATTTCTTGCTTTCAAGGTAGAAAATGAAAAGTTCCAAACTGGGTTTTGTTTGTTTTGCATTCCCAGAACATTCAGGCTAAATGTAATACAAAAAGAATTAAAGTTATAGCTTTGATTTCTATAGTTTACAAAATATAAACTAAATCATGTAAGTATGCATGTTACTGATGAATTCCCCTAACTGTCAAACTCTCCTGCGACAACACAGCTTTAGGCATGACTGTACTATTTCAGCAGAACAATCACGTTAGAAAGTTAAGAACACCTCTACTTACCTGTAATGCTGCGCTTCGCAATTCTAAACATGTGGCAATTTTGCCTATGGTTTTCTGTAGAAAGATAAAAAACAAAATCAGGTAATTTTTTATCAATAAGAAGTTTCTAATTTTTTAAAACAAGTTAAATCTTATTTCCCTGTAGCATCTGGCAGATTCAAGAGAAAAAAAGCAGGATGTAAAGGCCTGAGATGAGAGAGGTGAGTGTGTACTCTCTTACACTAACATCCCACAACCAATTCTATTTTGGGTTGTGAGCCTAGCCTTTAACGGCTGAGCCATCTCTCCAGCCCTCACAACCAATTCTAAAGCAAGGTCACTTTGGTGACAGTTTTGAATATGATTTAAAGGGTAATTAGTAAGTGAATAATGGAAACCAACATGGAATATCCCAAAAAATTAAAAATAGGGCTGGCAAGATGGCTCAGCAAGTGCTTGTTGCCAAGCCTGATGACCCGAGTTCAATCCCCAGAACCTACGAGTTGTCCCTCTGATATCCCTATGTATGCTCATATATCCACACACATGCACATACATATATATACACACCCATATACATACAAGTAAAATGCAAAAAAATCATTAAAAAACTTAAAAGTAGAACTACCATATAGCCCAGCAGTCCGCTCCTTTGGACAGCCAAAGGACATGAAATCAGTATGTTCAAGAGCTATTTGCACTCTCCTGTTTTCTGCCACAATTCAGCTGCCACAAATCAGAAAGACCCCTAAGTCCCCACTGACTGACACATGAATGAAGAAAATGTGCTCGTCCATACAGTGGGACAAGAAGTGCCATCACTGGAACTAGGGATCAAGCTGAGCAAAGTAAGTCCGGAAGAGAAAGGCGGGGATCACACACTGGCTCTTCCGGAGCATTAACAAGCTGAGCTTTCCGAGTGGAGAACAGCCTGGCAACTACAGGCTGGGGAGAACCAGAGGGAAGGGGGGACAGGGAGAAGCTGACGAAGGAGAGCTAAGTCACAGTAAGACAGGAGCAAGAGGTTCTGCTGTCTGTCACACAGTGGGCGACAATGTATGACAACACTGTAGAGGAAACTTAAAGACTCCAAAGATAGAACTCCAAAGGCCGGGGATATGGTTTGGTTGGAAGAGTGCTGGTCTGACATGATCCCAGTACTCAGGTGGTGGCATGATCAAAAATTCAGGGTCATCCTTAGCTACACAGCAAATTCTAAGCTACTCTAGGCTACATAAGCTCCTGACTTAAGAAAAAAAAAGGAATTTGAATGTTTTCACTACAAAGATAATAAATGTTTGAGCACTCAAGTTATTTGATTTAAATATCACACAATAGATACATGTACCCCCCCAAAAAAAAAAAATCTTATTACAGGGCATGCTGGCCCATCCATGACCTTCTTTAATCCCAGCACTTGGGAGGCAGAGGCAGGTGATCTCTGTGAGTTCATGATCAGCCTGGTGCACATAGCAAGTTTCAGGACAGCCAGGGCAACACAGAGAAACCCTGTCTCAACGCCCCCACCCCCATCTCCATCCCCCCAAAAGACTAAGCACTGAAGGTAAGTTAAGCTAAGTCTAATTTTAGATTTGAACTATTAACGCTCATGCAGACTAATTGCTCATACTTAATATAGTATAGAAAAATCCAGGTAACGGCCGGGCAGTGGTGGCGCATGCCTTTAGTCCCAGCACTCGGGAGGCAGAGCCAGGTGGATCTCTGTGAGTTCGAGGCCAGCCTGGACTACCAAGTGAGTTCCAGGAAAGGTGCAAAGCTACACAGAGAAACCTTGTCTCAAAAGAAAAAAAAAAAAAAAACCAAACCAAACAAAACAAACAAACAAAAAAAACAAAAACAAAAACAAAAAAAAAGGGAAAATCCAGGTAAATGCCATTTTACTTTGTCATTGCCTCAGGAAATTGATAGCTCAAAGGATCAATTAAGGGAAAAGATAAAAAAAGTCAATTAAAAAAATAAATTAATTGTGCTATAACGTATTCAATTTATATAAGGAAAAAAATCAGTTAAAATATATATAAAGAATATAGTCTCACCTAATCCAGACTTAATTTTTTAATATTTAAATAATTAGTTATCTTCTGTCTAGCTAGAGAGAGAGAGAGAGCATGCGTGTGTGTGAAGAGATGGAAGTAGCAAGAAGGGCAGAGATAGAAAGAGGGACCCTAAAAATATAACATGCATATAGTACTAAATTCTCTTTACCGCTAAATTTGACTCAAATCAGGGAAAAGCTTTCTAAGCATCACAAGATAGGATGTTCTATTCTATGTAGAAACTTACATGAGAAGACCTACTGCACCAATAGGGAATTCAATGGAATGAAGCATTTGGCAGCTTTCCATTGGCTATTAGACTCAGTCATCATAGTAACAAAATTACTGAGAACCTAAATGAAAGCTAAGCAAAAAAAACTATGAAAGGGCTCAAATCAGAATAAGCTTTCCAGGCATGGTGGCATACACATTTATTTCCAGCATTCAGGAGTTCTGTGAGTTCAAGGCCATCCTAGTCTACATAGTAAGTTCCAAGACAGCCAGGGCTACATAGTGAGACCTTGTCTCAAAACCCCCAAAATACATGAGCGGACAAAGACAACAACAGTAGACATGCCGAAGTGGACAGAGGAAAGACCACGAGGTCCCAACCCCACACAAAGAACTACAGAATACTGAGAGCAGGGGGGTCTCCCTCAGGGAAGAGCACACCAACTGTTACCAACACCAATGGTCAGCCCTGAAAACACAGATAAGTGACATTAGAGAGAGTAGCACATTATATTTAGGATATATATGCACACAAATATACATAATCTGTTTGCAATAACAGTGAAAAAGAAGCTATGGATTTGAAATAGAGTAAGGAGGAGTATATGGGAGGGTGTGGAGGGAGGAAAGGGAAGGAGAAAATGATGTTATAATAGCATAATCTAAGAAGTAAGAGATATTTTACAGAAAAATCATAGGCTGACTTTAAACCAGAAGTCAATGAGAATATCAAGAATAAGTACATATGGAATTTTCACACTATCTATTACTAAGTAGTGCTTTAGAGAGATTACTGTTTCTGTTTTAGGATTTTTTTTTAATGTGTGAGAAGGTTTCATTAGAACTTCCATGATTTAAGACTCTTCAGCTTATCAAAAATATGCTGTTTTCTTTGGCTAAATTAGGTTTTGTAAAAACTTTTCTATTAATTTGTAGGATCAAGCTTCCCACTGTCTCATTACATTTATGGCATCTACATACATTACATGGACTGATGCTAACATCAATTTCCTACCAACTCTTAAAAGTGTACAAAATAATGGGTTTCATTATTACATTTCCATCCATGCTTTATGTTTTTTAGATTTAAAGTTAATATAAAAATGCAAATTATTATCTTGAAAGATATGATTTATCTTAAAATAATCCTCTGAATAAATACCAATAATCTTAAGAGCAAAGCTTTTACTTATAAAATACTTTCAAGAGGTTACTAGAAAAAACTTTCTGCTTTGTGTGGTAGCTCCCACTATAATACCAGCAGTAGGGAAGCTGAGGCAGGAGGACTGTCATAAGTTCAAGGCCAATCAGAGCTATAGAGTGAAAGACAGGCCAATCTTGGGCTACAAAGTTAAGTCCCTGCCTCAGAAAACCACACACACACACACACACACACACACACACACACACACACTCACTAAACAACCAGATAAAAATAGGAGGAGGAGGAAGAAGAAGAGGGGGACAGGGTGGAGAGAAAAAAGAACTGCAGAAATACTGATTTTTAAACAATTCTTTCACTGGGCAGGGGCACATGCCTTTAATCCCAGTACCTGGGAGGCAGAGGCAGGTGGATTCCTGAGTTCGAGGCCAGCCAGGTCTACAGAGTGAGTTCTAGGACAGCCAGAGTTACACAGAGAAACCCTGTCTCAGGAAAAAACAATTTTTTCAAAGTTTCACAAACTACTGAACAGTAGATACGATTCTAAACTTTGCCACTGTGATCAAAACATCGAAAACATAAGATATTTGACTATAAAATTATAAAACAGTAAAAGCATTTAAACATAAAAATTTAAAATAGAAAACAAATTAATTTTGCTCCGAATAAAGTAAAAATCCACCATTTTTCTTTTTTCTTAAGAAAATACAATTGAGTATTTTCCTGTGGCTTATGGGCCATGCACGGCATTTAATTGATTCTGCAGATCCAACAATAATTCCCCATAGTATGTTCTTATGAACACAAGACTGACAGGAGATTTCCAAACCCAAGAAAATTTTAAAAGACTGTACACTCAATCTCTTTAAAATATTCAACATTACATAAGCACTCTGAAGCCCTGAGAAGTTACACACATTCTGTTCAAATATTTATTAATTTTTCAGAACCAATGCTCCCCAGGGCACATGTGGAAGATCATTATTATGAAGAACTCAAAGCCTCTGATAATTACTTCCCTAGGTGACAATCCAATAAAGTCTGTTATGGACAACTGTACATTTTTCACCTGAATTTTCAAAGAAAATTAAATGTTTAGAAGTGTACAGCTTGGCTTACATTTATAATGTAGCACATGAAAATATGGGGCAAGACACAGGCAAGGTCCAAGTTCTGTCTTGGCTCACTGGCAAGTATTATAAGTAACAATTGTCTCAGAAATCCAGTGCCCAGGAAACAAAGTGAGACCTCCTAGACAATATGAGATTTGGGGACAGGGTATCTTTAAGGGTCCTGCAGGACTCTAATCCCTCATCTCATAAGGACATTTGGGCCTGGAACCAGAGCTGAGCTCTGTGGCTACTCCAGGTCAGCCTTCCTCCTGGTCTTTCAGAGTACAAGATATGGGGTGTCTGTAAGCAGCTATGTAGGAAAGAAGGAGGCTGGTGCCTGGCTGCAGGAAGAGCTATAAACTAAAGGATGAACAGCATTATCAAATACTCAGAGGCTTTGGTCTCAGGTTAAAGAAAACTGTGAAAAAGTTACAATAGCTTCCCTTTAGCACAATCATGACAGGCCCATTTATTATTTTCTTTTTTATGATCTTAGAACATTTTCAGCAAATCAAATCACTTTATATTTGAGGTCACAGAACCTGTTCTTTAGCAACAGATGTTGAGACAAAAATTAAGTAACTCAAAAATGAAGAAATCATTGAGCAAAATATGAGGTCACTGAGATGTTTTAATGCCCTAGGTTTTCATTTTCTTTCATGTTTTTAACTTTATTAACTATTAGTTCATGCACTTAGACACTAAAATTCTGTTGATCAGAATTTTAGACATCCTAAGTTATTTCTTTTTTTTTTTAAAGGATTTTTTAAAAGATTTATTTATTTATTATGTATACAGCATGTATGACTGCAGGCCAGAAGAGGGTACCAGATCTCATTACAGATGGTTGTGAGCCACCATGTGGTTGCTGGGAACTGAACTCAGGACCTCTGGAAGAGCAGTCCATGCTCTTAACCTCTGAGCCATCTCTCCAGTCCCCTAAATTGTTTCAATCCAGGAATGCCAACTGGTTACTCAAGGCAGATTTCTCAAATCCTAGAGAAAAGGGAGAATACAGCTTTTGTTCTCTTCCTCAAGCAGACCACTCATCTCCTCTGTGGTATTTTCCAGGGCTAAAATCTAGTCTTCTGTGGATATTAGCAATTATTAAGGAAGAAAAGAAAAAAATAATCTTTAAAGTTGTAGCAATATGAAATTTTAAAATACTGAAAAAACAAAACAAAACAACAAATCAGCTAAAGTGATTCTTAAATATGTTTTAGATGTGCATGTACTAACTTGGGCAAGAATGCTGCTAATCGTGGTGGTGTTTTCTGTCCCAAACACCTATAACTAAGAGTTAACAAATGGAAGCCCATGGACTAAAGTAACTCTGCTCGGACTTAACAAATTATTCCCCCCCAAATCACTTATTCCCCTTGTGCAAAAAATGAGTATGAATGAATGAAGTCACCAGAGTTTCACACAGCCCTGCCTTAAGAGACTTGGGGTGGGGTGGCTAACCTTTTTTTTTTTTTTTACTAGTCACAAGATTAAAAATTAACTTAGTACTATAGCTACCCTGAGTCAGGAAAATCCAGGACTTATTTTCTCCCTTTTCCCCATATTCAGGAATGAGTGTTCCTTTTTTCCCAAATATCTCTAATGGGGAATCAATCTGACACACACAAAATCTAATTCAAGGAGAAGGAACACCATGGAAACTTTTTGCAACATTGTCTGATAGATTTGCAGACCAGTCCCTCCCCCCACCCCCCTTTGATGAGACAGGGTTTCTCTGTGTCGCCCCGGGCTGTCCTGGATCTCACTCTGTAGACCAGGCTGGCCTCAAACTCAGAGATCCACCTGCCTCTGCCTCCCGAGTGCTGGGATTTATGATGTGCACCATCACTGCTTGCCTAACAAGCCAAATTCTTAATTTGCACTATTTTCTTTTCAGTCTTACACTTTTTGTTGTTCCTTGGTTTTGGTTAGTTTGGGGATTTTGCAGTACTTACTGGCTTATTTTGAGAGAAAGAATTAAGTGTGAGGTGGGATGTGATTACTCAGCCTTGTTTCCCCAGGTGACTGTAGTACAGTTTGGGTTTCCCCACCTTACTCAAAGTGAGAATGGCTGAGCAAATAAATGGCAGGTCCCTCCAAACGACCACTTACTGTCAGGCAAAACATCATTTTTTTTTTCAAATTTAAGCATAACAGAGAGAGGGGGGAATGTGTTTATGAGTGTGCGCGTGAGTGTGTGTATAACCCTAATCGGCTGCACCAGAGATTGCTTAGGGTACCTTTTGCTCTTCTGTGAATTCAGAATTATTGTGTTGAGCTTGGGCCTCCTTCTGTAGGTGTCTTGCTAATCTGTAAGAAGAAAACATTGTTTAGAACTGAAAGCCAGTAAGCTATCTCAACAGCAGCAAGAGGATACAGGTCAATCTTTTAAAAACAGTGAAGCACAATGATTAGTTGTAATAATGGCAGTCTCCCTTACACTTAGAAGCAAACTCTAAATATGCTACAATACTTTTCACACCATTTCCCTGGGCAGAATCTGACCTAAGACAGTAAAAGCAGAATGCCAGGGCTGGGGAGGGTCTCCAACGCTGTCGAATCCAGCCCTTGTTGGCATGAACGGACTCTTCTGTAACTAGCCAGAAGGCAGTTATCCAGAGTCAACTTAGACTCTACCACTTAGCTCCAACAGCTGTACTGCCTGGAGATGCTTTATCAATCTACTATTAATTTGCTGATTAGTCCAAATCCAAATTAAATCCATGACAAAGTGCAAATACTCTATCAAAATCTGCATTTGAAGGTACTTGTTTTTTTGGGGAAAAAAAAATCCCACCACTCATAAACGGAAATCAATGATTACCCAATTATCATATTTAGCAGCTAGGGGCTGGTGAGAAGACTCATTGTCTGCCTCCAAGCCTGGTGACCCAAATTTGATCCCAGGGCCCACAAGGTAGAAAGAGGAAATCAACTTCCCCAAGTTGTCCTCTGACCTCCACACATAAGGTGTATATGTGCATGCAAATAGCAGGCCGTCTGAGAGTTTCTACCCCAAGCTCAACAGTAAGGATCAAATCTATATGTCAAAGAGCAAAACAAAAAGGACCAACACTTAAAACACAGACAGACACACACACATACACATGGGGGGGCGGATTCTTGAGAGATATAAAAGTGGCCAGTAAGAACACAGAAAGATCCATATCATTAGTCATAAGAAAAGGCATACCAATGACAAGCTACTCCTTCACAGCCAGAGATGGCTGTGATTTAAAAAATAAAACAAAGGGAGAAAATAACAGGTGTTGAAGATGATGGACAAAAAGCAGGACCCTCATACACCTGATAAAAAAAAACAGAAAATGATACCAATCGTATGGAAAGGTTAGGTAGTTTGTCAAGTAATTAACTACAGACTTACTACAAGACCCCGAAATTTTATACTAGGTATATACATCCAAAAAACCTCAAAATATCTATTTGCATGAAATATCTGTACACACACATGCATTATTCATAACAACTGAAAAGTGGGACCGACTAAAATGTTCATTGACTAATGAGTGAATAAATAAAATGTGGTATGCCCATTCAATGACATATTTTTCACTGGGGCTGGAAAAACAGCTCAGCAGTTAAGAACACAGAGGAGCTGTGTTCAATTGTTCTTGCAGAGGAGCTAGGTTCAATTCCCAAGACACAGCAACTCACAACTTTATACATGCAAGATAATTCAATTTTTAAAAAGAGGCAAAAGATTTGGAAGGTACACAAAGACTTATAGAGTGAAAATAAACACGAAAAGACACTCAACACCATTAGTCATTAATGAAATGTAAATTAAAACCACAGTGAGCTATGATATACACCCTCTAGAAGGGATGTAATTAGACAGTAACAAATGCTAGCTACATGGGAAAAAAAACAACCCTCCCATTGCTAGCAGAAATATGAAGTGATATCCCTACTCTGGACAGTAACTCCACAGATTTCCTTTAAAATTCACACGTTTAACATAAGATCCAGCAATTCCTCTCACTGGTATCCATCTACTCGAAAGGAATGAAAATGCATGTTCACAGAAGCAATTACCTGGGCTGGAGACATGGCTCAGTGGTCCAGAGCGCACACTGCTCTTGCAGAGGATCTAAGCTCAGTTTCCAACACCCACGTCAGGCATCTCACAACTGCCTGTAACTCCACCTCCAAGAGACCCAAACTTCTGGTCTCCCAACTTTAGACACCTGCACACGAGTGCACACAACCCTGCCCCCGCCCATAATTAAAAATAAAATTTAATTTTGAAAAAGAATTGCATGCAAATGTTTAGGGCAGCACTGCTGATAATAATTAAAACTTGAATGTTCACTAACTAGTTGAGTGGGCACACAAAATGTGGTACACCTGAACAGCTTAACATTTTTGTTCACTAACAAAAAATGTGATGTGATAAATGAATCTTAAAGATTATGCAAAATAAGGCATCGCAAAGCTGGACTGGGTGATTATTACACGAAATGTCCATAAAGGACAACACTATGAAGACAAAACATAGGTGAGCGATTGTCAGGGGTCAAGAGCGTGGTGGGAATGCAGATGAGCACACGGGACCTTTGGAGGGGAGGAGAAAGTTCTAAATTCAGTGTGGTGACACTTGCACAAGCTGGTACATGTAGAGCGTTGTCAGTTTTATGGTGTATAAGTTATATCTCAATAGTTTTTTTTTGTTGTTGTTGTGTTTTGAGTTGGGTCTCACTATTTGGCCTTCCCTGGCTGGCCTGGAACTGGCTGCGTAGAAAATGCTAACCTCTAACTTGCCTGCTTCTGTCTCCCAAGTGCTGGGATTTAAAATAAACAAACAACAAAAACTTTTTAAAAATGTTTTAAAAGCCTAAGCAAGACACTTTAATCTTTTAAATATATAAACCCAAATTTCATGTGAATGGAGTCCTAAAGGTGAGGCCTGATTCTGTACACTAAAGGAAAAGCTACATGTTCTGCATAAGCAGATGGACAGCTGAAAGAGTTGGTGATGAGTAATGGTGACAAAAATAGTCCAATACTCTTCTCTAGGGGCTGGAGGGATGGCGCCACAGTCAAGAGCACTTGCCGCACAATCCTGACAACTGGAGTTCGAACCCCGGCACTCACATAACTAGCCAGGCATCCCTAGCACATCTGTAAACCCAGCACCGAAAAAGCAGGGACAGGGGGATCACTGAGACAGGATAGCTTCCAACCTGGTGAGAATATTCAGGGAGAGACCTCAAAAGGAAAGTGGAGTGATAGAGAATGTCCACTGTACACACAAGTGCACATAACTCACAGAAAGGCGAATGAATCTTCACAAGTTCTCTAGAGACCCATCTTATCCTACAAAGGTGCCTGCAGTTAAGATAGGACTGCTCTCAGGAAGTGTCTTAAACACACTCTAAGCACATAAACGACTAACAGGAACCTTATCGCTGTAGACAGAAATTAGTGCATCTCAACCATCTGTAGCAAAGAACCAGGTTTTCTCTCCCCCAGTTCCTGGCTGTACTCTGCAGATTTAAGAAAACAATACTGTGAACAGGCAGGTGAGATGGCTCAGGAGGGGAAGCTGTCGAGTCTGATGATCTGAGCCAGACCCTGGGACAGACATGGGAGAAGGTAGGGCGAGAACTGAATCCTGCTAGTTTTCTTTGTCCTCCACGTATAGGCACCAGGCACACATGTGGTGCTCAAAAATACATCAGGCAAAACACTCATACACATAAGTGTAAAAATACAGCATTCTTAAAGGGAAAGTACATATACTACGCCACCCACATTTCCCCCATAAACCAGCCTCCATATATTGTATGGCTATGAAGACAGTATGGCTGCCCAATTAAAAAGCCCAATTATCCTAGACCTCTCCCTTCATTCTTGATATCCGGCCAGTGACTAAGTAATTGTTCACATCATTATCACGGTCCCCAACTGGCCTCCTTGGCTTCAGTCTTTCCTCCCAGAGTGTGTTCCAAAAAAATGAGAAAAGGCAACTTGTATCTATTGCTGGTAGACTAGAAAGATGTAAATTCTTGGCCTCAGTTATGTGTAGCCTGAACGTTACAAAGTTTAGTCCAATCACTACATTTCTATTGACATCTGACAGTGCAGTTTTATAATAACTGCAAGAGTACTCTGCAGCTCTCCAGTACAGTGGTCAGTGTGGAGACTCAACAAAGGATTTGCATGTGCCTGTTACTCTCATTCCCACCAAGCAGCCTGCATATTCAATTTTCCTTTGTAATTTCAATTAGACATGGTATTCTTCACTTTCCATTGGGAGGGTTCCTGCCCGGTACCAACAGCTGCTAGTCCACTGCATCACAAGAGAGAGGCAGCTTGGCATTTCAGGGTGTGCCACTTTCATTACTAGAGGGTGTGATATGCAGACCCTCACAGGCTACCTCATCAAGGTAGAGAAGAGCACATTCAGCAACAATGCAAGGAATCTTGAAATTTGTCCAGTTTATTTACAGAATTACTCTATCAGTGTTTTATCAAAGAAAGCACTTTATTATTAATTCAAATATCAGGAGAAAGGGATTGAAGTTAGAAAAAAAAAATCCCAGATTTCAAAGGTATCATGTTGTGACTCCAGTTTTCTAATTTCATAAAAAAGAATTCTATCCCTAGTGGGCAGTTATAAAAACAAATGAAATCACATGGGAGTCCAAAATATATGTTAGTAGTTGTCCAACATAGCAAAACACCCAGAGCACTGGGTTTTTTAATCTATAGACCATTCTGTCCATTAAGACGGGCAGAGAACACCTATATATCCAAATTATCTCATGGTCTAGCCAAAAACAAGTAGCTATTGTAGGGAGAGGATAGAAGTTTCGATTTTCCAAGTACCACTCCTGTATTCTTTCCAGAAAGAGAGATGGGGATTGTTTCACAATTCGAGAAACCGCAAATAATTTTAAAACCGAGACTTAATAGCAACTGTTTGCAAACAATAGTATTTAATGAGCAGTTTCTTCTAGTAGTAAGTCCAAGAACTAAGCAAGATGTTTATACAATTTTTTTGTTTTTAAGTATCTAAAGCTTAAGTGGGAGGCACCAGAAAGAGATAATGAGACTTGGGTGGATGAAGGAAACCAGTCCTCACATGTACCCTGAGGCTATACATTGTACACAGGAAAAGGGGGAGGGATCCAAGGAGGGAGTGGCGGCTCCTGTGCCTGGTCTATTAATTCACATTTTGCTCCCCTCTATTCACATCCTGCGCGGACTCCACCCAAAGCAGCCAAGCGAGAGGGTGGGTGGGACTCACAGCCTAGCAAATAACAGTCCCAGAAATCGAAAACGAAATCGAGTTGGAATTGTGAAAACACTGCTCCCCAGGCAGAGGGGTGGAGAAGGAGCGCGAGTAGCGAGTAGAGACCCTTCTCTTGGCAGAACTGTTCCCTTATCATCCCCGGGGCAACCTCCACTCCCGCGCTAGCTCATCCCTCCTCTCCTACACGTGGAGAGTGAAAGACACACACACGCAGAACATGGCCACTCATCCCCGGAACGTGGGCGGAGAGCACACGAGTATTCCCTGGGGATTTTCAAAGACAGATTTTTTGTTTTTTTTTTTCCTGGAGGGGTGGCACCCTGGGAGAGGCGGCGGGAAGGAAAGGAGACCGCCTGCAGAGCCCAGGGCCCAGTGAGAAGCTTGAAGGGAACTAAGCAGAGAGCCAGTTAGGGCCCCAGCTACCTGTTGAATGGACCCGGCCCTGTGCAGAAGAGGGGAGGTGCGAGAGCCTGCCCGGAGGGCGGACGGGTGGTCCCCAAGCAGCCGGATCAGGGCCCATGGGATCTCAGCCCTGGTGTTTGCGGGGGCCCCACCCCAAGAAGCCTGCGCTGCGGGACACAGTGATGCGAGACCCGGGCAGAAACAAGGGATGGCGACCTGCCTGGCCCGCTCCCGCGGTTAGTCACTCACATCTGATACTCGTCTATCGCCTCCACCAGCTGGCCCCAAGAGTCGAAGTCGGCGCCTCTCCTAAGACTGGCGCCCCAGCGCTGCAGCAGACTCCGGGTCACCTCCGACATGGCGGGTCCCCGCCCCGGCCCCCTCCCGCCCCTACCCCAGCAAGGCCGGGCTCTAGGGCGCCATCCTCCCCGGGCTTGGCCCTGACATTAACAGGGCCAGGAGGAACCGCTAAGGCCACCACCGCCACCCGCCGAGGAGCCGCCCAAACCCATTTGCCGCCACAGCCAAACTTTGCAGCTCCAAAGGCGGCCGCCCCGCCGAGGCCACGCCCCGCCGAGGCCACGCCCCGGTTAGGTTGAGGCCGCCCCAATCCGCCAAGGCCATCGCTACGACGGCATCCGGCCCTGGCTCGGGGACTCCCCGCGCCACATCCCTTCCTCTCTAGGACCCAGACAGGATCTGGAGAGGTAAGAGCAAGCGAAGGTTAGAAAGGGCAGGCAGACGGAGCGAGCCGAGGGGCTGCCACTGCGCGGCGGAACCCGCCCCTCTGAGACACGCACGGCAGCCTCTGCCGCTGTCATGGTCTCCAGTCACGTGACGCCCGCTCGCGGCTGGCCCCGCTTCCGGCCGCTCTAGCCCAGTAGTCTCGGTGCTACCGGCGCCTTCCTTGTCTCGCTGGCGGACTCGGTCCCGCCTTCCCTTTCCTCCAGCAGGAAGAGTGGCGTTCGGACTCTGAAGTCCCCGGTAAGCAGGTCAAGAGGTGTGTGAGCCCGTGATCTCCCTCCCCTCGAGTCCCTGCACTCCAGTAGGAGGGTCACCCCCTTCCAGGAGCTCCATTGACCCTCGGATGGTAGTCAGTGGAAGAATCGATGGTATTAACTGCTAGTTCGGCCGACTCTCCTCGCCCGGCGTCTCCTTTGGCTGTTAGAGAGCTTGCTAGACACAGAACAGTGGCCTGGCAGTCATCTGCTCGGCCTTCCGAGGTTGACAGGATCGGTGTGCCACCCTAAGGCCTGATCGCGGTCCAGGAGAAGGGTGCGTGGGGTCGCGGCCGGCTGACTCAGTAGAACACCCGGAGGAAGAGGCCGGGCGGTAAACAGGAAGTGGGCGCAGGCAGTGTCTAGACCGCAGGTAGGCTCCGGGGAGCTCCCGAGTTGGGAGGGGGTGTGTCAGCGAGCTCGTTCGAGGAGGTCTGGCAGGTGATGTTCTTTATATGTATTCGGGGTTCTACTTGGGGCTCTGCAGGCTCTTGAGGATGGGTGTGTCGTTCTTCGACCCCACCCTCCGAGTTCTTGAGACCTGAAGAGTGTGTGAAGGATGGAGAGTACAGTCATTACAAGAAACAGTCGCAGAAATTCTGTTTTCACAAATTTCCCTAGAGTAGGGTAGGCTCACTGGCTGCTGCGCTTGCGCAGGTGTTGAAGATGATTTGTATAGACGCTGTTTTGGTGATATGTTCTGAAAGGGCTTGTTAAATGTTTTGAGTCCTAAGTGGATCTGCCCAGGCTTTCACTGAGTTTATGATGCATTCTCTGTTCGTTAAATATCTGGTGCTTCCCCAAAATGGTTTGGCCATGAGTAAGTCTAACCTGAGTGGTCCATAATGTTGATATTTCAGAACACTGTACCCCTCCACACACTTTTCCCCCCTAATAAAGGCTGATTGAAAACCTGTGCAATGCCTGTAAATTACATTCACCTTATCAGAATCGCTTCTGTATTACTTCTGGAATCTAATGAGATGTTTGAGACTCCAACTTGGAGCCTTGTGTTACTAAATGCATTATCTACCCTGAAACTTTCAGGCAAAAAAAAAAAAAAAAAAAAAAGAACATACAGTGCTGCCTTTTTTCTTTTTGCTACAGTTTTTAAAGTTGACATTTCATTGAGGTAGCTTTTCAGATGTTTTTGTATTCACAGTTTATATTTTATATAAAAATGTTCTTAGTAGTTTTATACCCAGTCAGTTTATTACAGAACACAAGGTCCTTCGGTGCCAGCAATATGTGGAAAATAAAATGAATATGAGACTTATTTATTTCAAGTAGACTTAGTGTTAATGGGGGGATCCATTTGACTGTGTTAAGGAAATGAGACTCATCTGGTCCTGTACCTTCCTGTTTGCAGCTATCCAACCAAAGTCTCAGCTTTGCTTCTCAGAAGTGTAGTCTGGAGTCCTGCACAGCCAGCTTCTCAGGTTCTCCCCCAGACCCCCAGGTGAGAACACATTGTAGCAAGATCACTTATCTCCAGGGGATTTTTGTTTAATGCATTTTAAAGTTAGCACTGTTCTTCTGTATCTTATCACTGAAATTATTATGAACAAAATTCTCAATTTTCTTATACAGGCGTAATCGAAGTATCAATTTAAGATAAAATTCATTTGTGGTGTATTATATTTATATATGTACATTTTGTGTATAATAGCTTATGCATAAGTGTATATATCTTGTAAAAATAGCCAGCTTTTACATGTCTTTTTCCTAATTTTTCAGTTTTTATGTCTCTTCTGCCTGTAGAGCACATCTCGAGAAAATGACCCATTGGTTTCATAGGAACCCATTAAAAGCCACAGCTCCCGTGTCTTTTAACTACTATGGCATGATCACTGGTCCCCTTGCCTCAAAGATTTGCAAGTAAGTGTTACTGCAGCTTAAGCAGTGTTAGTTGGATAGTGATTCAAGGTACTTTATAAGTTCTGTGGTCAATACAGAAATGTGTGACACATTCCTAACATTAAACTCATAATAAATTTCTATTTTATCATTAACGGATGAAGATTAAATCATAGGATATTTAAGCTTTTGTAGTCATCAAGGCTACATCCTTAATTTTATATCGGTAAATGAGTCCCAGAAGGGCTAAATCAGTAACAGAGTTAAACTATATATTTCAACAGAGCCATAAGGTAGGATGTGAGTATTGTTATTGGGCTAGACAGTAAATTATTTATGTTCCAAGAAGGAAGAGTTTGCTATGATTTCAAATGCCTTCAAAGTAGTGATATAGGAGAAAGGACTTGAGCTGAGGTTCGCATAAATTGTTTAACTGACATCAGGAGTTGACAAACTCTGCCCACTGTGTTAGACCCCCTGCTTCTTTTGTTTCTGGTGTATGTGTGTGCGAGCGCATGCGTGCACTCCTGCCCGCTCATACTCATGCTAGTGCAATCACCCAAAGCTCAACATGCCCAAAGTTAAATTCATCTTAAAATTATACAAATTGAGAAAAGCATGCTTTAGAAATGTGTAATTTAGGCACAGGTGTGAGAACTGAATTCAGATTCCTAACATCCATATAAAAAATGGACAAGATAGCACACCTCTGAACCCCAGCACTGGGGCACAAGGTGTTTGTGGGGACAGGCAGATCCTAGAGCTCTCCGGCCAGCAAGTTCAGCCAAAATAGAAAGTTCTGGGTTCAGTGAGAGATACAGATATCTGACCTCTGGCTTGCACACATGCCCAGGTATGAATATTTGCACGTGTATAAACATATACACACTAACATGTATTTAGAATGAGAAGACTTGCAAACAATTTTGAAAACATTCAGAGAATATATTATATACTATGCATTCTGTGTATTTACAATTTAAATTTAGTCTTCAGCAGCTTAAACCTATTTTAAATGTCTTAAGTTAATGTCCATTGAATGTGATTTCTGGAACTCTGACAGTCTCCTGCATTAGATGTAGATGCAGATTAGAGATGCTATAGATCTAGGAGAGGAAGTCATTGAAGATGTGAGAATAGAGATCTCAAAAGAAAACCAAAGGCCAAAGACTGGTATTTTTATGTGGGAGAGAACTGGGGACATAGAGAAGAAATGTTGAATGGGGAGGAACATCTCAAAACTGTAGTGCTCACTGTGACCATGGTATTGCAAGAAGGAAAGCTGGGTATAAGACACTGTGTTACAAAAAGAATGGCTTGCAGGGGACAACTTAGGTAATTTAACCAAATGGTCACACGATTTTACATTTTCTGGATGTGTATATATATTCATAGACTATGTCAGATGCTTTGTGTGTAGTGCCAAATTTAGAAATTCAAAGGTTATTAAAATCATACACAAGTACATTAAATGGCTGTTTTCCCCAAAACTCTTGGCTAAAGAATGAAGAATGAGCTGGGTGGTAGCCCACGCCTTTAATTCCAGCATTTGGGATGCAGGCAAGCAGATCTCTGTGAATACAATGCTAGCTGGTCCACACCATTAGCTCCAGGATAGCCAAGGTTACGCACGAAAAACAAAACAAAAAAACAAATTACAAAAAAAAGGAATGAAGAATGAATTTTAAATACACTCAGTTGTTGTTTGTGTTACTGGAGACAGGGTCTCAGGTAGCCTGAGCTGATTCAAACTTGCCTTGGCTCTGTAGCTAAGAATCCCTCTTCCACCTCCTGAGAACTGCACTTACAGCTTTGTGTTGCCATGCCTGGTTGATAGTCTTGTTTTTAAAACTTGCTGTATATTTTTTATTGTATAATTGGGTGTGGTGGTATTGTGTACCCTAAAAAATTTACCTGAGGATCAGAGGACAGAGTTAGCTACTAGATTACACATGGAGGTCAGACAGTGGTGGCACACACCTTTAATCCCAGCACTTGAGATCTCAGGCCTTTGCTTGGGAAGTCACACGCCTTTAATCCCAGGAAGTAATATGGCAGGGCAGAGAAAAGTATATAAGGCGTAAGGAAACAGGAAATCACTCTCTTGAGGCTGAGCATTTTGTAGAGGTAAGAACTAGTGGCTGGCTGTTCTGCTTCTCTGATCTTTCAGCTGGCTCTGGGTTTTTTTTTTTTTTTATTATTAAAAGACCATGAAAGATTTGAACAACAGTTGGGCACATGCATTGCCCCTTTAATTAGACTGAGTTTATTTTTGTATAACTTTTGAAGTGATTGTTGTTAGAAACTTCATTTATTTCTAACATTGGCCCTAATTAAATTTATTCCTTGGAATTGGTACATGGTAAAGAAGCTAGCAGGGGGTCTGTATGTGTTGTTTTAAAGCTTTTAAGTTGTTGCCTCTGAGCTGCTTTTACGTAGTCTTTGACACACAACTTACTTCGCTTTACTGTCTGTTGATGCAAGTGATTTGAGATCATCCAGGACTCGGCTCCTCGAATTGTTCACTGATTTGAGCTGTAATCCGGAAATGATGAAGAATGCAGCAGACTTATATTTCTCACTTTTACAAGGTTAGTTACTTTTGTAAAGGTAAATGTTTTTA